GCATTTATAGAGCCCGGAACTAACTGGATGGCCTCTTCCTCTTCCAACATCAATTTTGGGGATAGAAGATTTGAGGCCTCACACAGCCTAAGCACCGTACAAGAATCCCTTGTGGTTCTGATCCATCACATCTTCTGCTGTTATCATATTCTGTTCTTGTTTTGTTTTCATCTCGACTGGTAAGTCTGTATGTGGATTTGGTAGCAAAGCCTGAGCTGGCTAAGGAATGATCTGCTTCATTCTTTTTCCTCTATTTTTGTCTATGAAATCAGTAGTACTAATATCTGAAAGCAGAATTTCTTCCTTCCTCTTATGTTTTTATTTTTCTGGTGTGGGGCGTGAGATTGTGCCACGCAGCTGAACCACACCCCAACCCCTCCTTTATTTTTTTATAAACATCCTTTCTCTTCCCTACAGTTACTTACTATCTCAGCAAGCCTTCTTCCATCTTCTAATTTTCATTTTGTGATAGTGATATCTTATGTGCAGTTATTCCTTTTTTAAAACTAATCAGTAGTATCTAGTTGATTTGCAGTTGTTTATATAAAGTCATTCAGAATGTCTAAGAGCACAAAATATATTTTGAGTTCAGAAAATTAAAAGTTGTATGGATAGGGAAGAAAGATTTCAAAGTTACAGCCAGGCATCAGAAATTGATTTGGATTTACTATGACTTCTTTATTACCAAAATATAAAAGATGCACAACGAAAAGTTAACAGATTAAATTTCAATTTTAAACAACTGTGCTTTAAAAGAATACCACATTTAAAACACTAATGGTTTTTAGACAAGTTAAATATTTGTGACATTATAGACAAAAGGAAACATTTTAATGTAGAATATTTTCTTATTTAAAAAAATTGAGACATCTTGATTTACAATATTGTTCATGATAGGATTTCATGCATAAAACATTCCAAGACCACATACACCCCCACCACCCACTCAGTTCTGTAACTGAATTTACCAGAGTGGAGTAGGGTGGTGGCGTGTATGTGGTCTTAGAATGTTGTATGGATGAAATCTTGTCATGAACAATACCAGTTCCCATGTTCTGTTGCCTTTTGTCATTTGTCATTCACATACTATGTTTCTTTTCAGCCCACAAATGAGAGAGAATGCATTTTTATATTTCAATGAATAAAAGAGTACCCCAATGCAAATGGCCAAAAGACATGAGTAAATACAAGTAGACTTTTAAGTATTTGGGGGAAAATACACAACTTATCTTTGACAGTCAAACCAATTCAGATTTAAAGAAATCAACTCTCCTATTTGTTTAAATATCAACAAGAGTATGCTGAAGAGATAAAATGTAACTGCATTGTGGAGATAGTAAATGACTCCTTTTGTAGCCTGAGGAAAGCATCATTGGGGTCAATCTGTCTGATAGAAAAATTGTCAAAAGCTTTTCAACATTACTTTTAAGCCTAAGAGTGCCACTTTATTGAGTAACTGCACTCTTGTTTACAAGGACACTACTGAGTAATTAATTTTTAAAAAAGTGAAATACTGAATGCACATTAAATGTCAAATAGTGAAAATTTGGTTGAGCAAATTGTGGTACCTTCATGCTATTTTAAATGTTCGGCATGCTAAATTTAAGCAAGAATATTCACAATATAGTTGTGTAAGAAAGAATTAGTCACAGATAAATGAAATGATTCCAGTGTTGTTTAAATCTATGAGCTAAAAAATTTCCACACGTTTCATAGCACCTTCAGAATAAAAGGGCAGTTCCAAGGTATGTTCCAATAAGTTTAGGGTCTAGTAGTAGTTTTGGTGAAGGAGATTGTCATTTATTTTTATACTAAAGTATTATGGTTTACATTAGTATTAATATTAGTGTTGATGCTTGCTTCATTACTGTACCACACCCACTACCATAATGTCAGTGTTCCCCCACCCCAAGTTTCCTTTTTCCCTCCCCCAACCACTCCACCATCCCCCTTCCCGTCCCCCACCCTCTGCAGAAGCCTCAGTTCTATTGGCAGTATCTTAGGGTTTGTTTCCTTTGGGCAGTGTCCAATCCCTCGCTTTTTTTTTTGTCCACCCCAGGCATGTTTAGGGATTGTTCCTGGATCTTCCCTCAGGAATTAATCCTGGTGGGGCTCTGGGGACCATATAGGATGCCAGAAATTGAACCTGGGTTGACCACATGCAAGGCAAGAACCCTACCTGCTGTGATATCACTCCAGCCCCTAATCTCTTGCTTTTTCACTTGAAACTCCACATATGTGTGAGATTTTCTGAATTTATCTTTTTCTTTCTTTTTTTTTTGTAGGAGTACTGCTATTTATTCAGCCACTGATTAGCTGATTGAATTGTGCATGAACTCCACCTTACTTTTTCTTTCCATTTTTAATAATTTTATTTATTGAATCACCGTGAGAGCAGTTACAAAGCTTTTGGGTCTAAGTCTCAGTCATACAATGAAACACCCGTACCTTCACCGGTGCCCATTCTCCACCACCAAAAATCCCAGTATACCCCCATCCCACACCCTCCCCCTGCCTGTGGGGCAGATGATTTCTACATTACTCTCTCTCTACTTTGATCACATTCACTATTTCGACACCAGACCCACCATTATTTAAGATTTTACCCCAACACTCAGATCTGCTGAAAAGGCAACAATAGACAATTTGTGTTCTATTGCTGGTTATGAATAACATATGATGTCATGTGACTGCAGTAGGGCCATGTGGTTTTGAAGTTCTGAAATTTTAACACTTAAATCTGGAGGGATTTCTGCCAAAAGCCACTGGGTTTAGAGATCTGCTCCTGAGTCGCTGGGATCATGGCCGTTGAGCAGTTTGATGAGGAGCCAAAGAGGCCATTCGTGGGCGATGACTTGGGGTCTCGTTGGGGTGGGGTGGGGAGGACAGGCCCGGCTCCACCCCCCCCCCCCCCCATCCCGTGAGACCCAACAAGTTTCGTCACTGCGGGCCCAAGCCTGACTGTCCAATGGCCTCTGGAGGATGACAGCCACCAAGTCGCCAAGAGGGAGCAGGCAGAGGGACAGCACCCATTCCCCCCTGGGGGTGGCCCGGCGACAGTAACCTACTGCGGGGTCCGGACACATTTCTGACAAAAGCCGCTGGGTTTCGAGATTTGTTTCTGAGTCTCTGGGATCAAGGCCGTTGAGCAGCTTGATGAGGAGCCAGAGAGGCCGTTTGTGGGCGATGACTTGGGGTCTCATTAGGGTGGGGAGGACAGGCCCGGCTCCACCTTCCCCCCAATCCCGTGAGACCCAAGTTTCATCACTGCAGGCCCAAGCCTGACTGTCCAATGGCCTCTGGAGGATGACAGCCACCAAGTTGCCAAGAGGGAGCAGGTGGAGGGACAACACCCTTTCCTCCCTGGGGTGGTCCAGCGACAGTAACGTACTGTGGAGTCCGGATGCATTTCTGCCAAACGCCACTGGGTTTTGAGATTTGTTTCTGAGTCTCTGGGATCATGGCCGTTAAGCAGCTTGATCAGGAGCCAGAGAGGCCATTCGTGGGCGATGAGTTGGAGTCACGTTGGGGTGGGGAGGACAAGCCTGGCTCCACCCTCATCCCGTGAGGCCCTGTGTGTCTCGTCACTGGGGGCCCAAATGTGACTATCCAGTGGCCTCAGACGGATGGCGGCCACTGGGCCACCAGGGGGAATAGGCCAAGGCACGAAACCTATTCCCACCTGGGTTGGCCCAGCACCGGTAGCCTACTGCAGAGACCAGACGCATTTCTACCTAAAGCCACTGGGTTCTGAGATTCATTTCTGAGTCTCTGGGATCATGTCCATTAAGCAGTTCAATCAGGAACCAAAGAGGCCTTGCCTCCAATTATATAGCTGAGCCGGAGTTGGTTTGTGGGTGTGTCTCCCCCACATACCTAACTTTTGGCCGTTTACTTTCTTGGTAAACTTTGCCCCAAGTTTTTGGGGTCTGGCCAAAGGCACAGCAGCAATTTTGGGGTATCTGGAAGTCTGCAGGCGCCATGAGGCTGCTGATGCACTCGCCTCACAGGTACAGATTGACCTGCTGGCGGCACCATACCCCCTATCTTTTTCTTTCTGACTCACTTCACTTAACACACCACCCTTTAATTCCAACCAAATTGCAGCAAAATGCAACATCTCTTCATGGTTGTTTCAGATATTCTATTTTTTACCCATGGATTATAAGTCATAACAATTGATTATTATTATTGTAACTATAAACTCATTTTAATTATTATAAGGCACTTAATTGAGAATAATATGTTGGATCTCCACATCCTAATTAGCCAGTCCAGCTCATTTTAGGGAGACAAAGAAACTCTTTGCCATTTAAGGTATTTAGTCACAGACTAAGGAGCACCAAGGAATTAGTTCATGAAAGTCCAGTTGTTTCTTTTAAACAAGAACTGTATTCTGTCTACCTCCATGGTGACATATGTTCATACGGCACCCTTTTAGCAGGGCAAAGACTCCTCACCTCTGATTTTACCTCTTCTGGGGAAAATGCCGGTCCTGTCCCCAAATGGTGTATAGTCCCGTGTGTCAGTTCATGGACTTCTAACAAGAGTAAACTTGGACCTGGTGGGTGGACTCTTTATGGTGGCTGATATCTCTCATCCCCAGGCCTCACTTTATGACATTAACCTATTTTCCTGGAAGAAGAAACGATTTCTCTTGGAAGAAACAACTACAAACAAATCGCTCAGGGTGTGGGTGGGGAGAGACCCCAGTAAAGGGTTTTGCTTATTCCTGAGAATTCTTTTCCTGCAGAATTACTTGCAAACTATGTTAAATATTTTTGTTACAATGGTAAATCAGAAAGGCTGGGATAGCATTTCCTCTGAGTCTGAGATGCCCACCATGTCCTTTCTCCTTTCTTTTTGGTTCTGTTGTCAGAGATGAGTGCTAGGAGATTTGCCGAGGATAGCATCTATTTCATTACCCAAGTAGACTGTGCATTTTGAATGGTGTGTACTAGTACTGAGTAGTGATGAGTGATTTTTTTGTTCTTTCCCAGAATGTCGAGTGGTGAAGTCTACTTCTTACACCAAAATAGCATCATCCTCCCGTAGGAGCACCACCAAGAGTCCGGGGCCTTCCAGGCGCAGCAAATCCCCTGCTTCAACCAGCTCAGGTAAAGCAGCCAACGAGCTTTGAAGAAACAGTCTTATTTCTGACATGTTGGGCATTGAGTGTGTGAAGTCTTTGTTAAAGCACTCATTCTTTCAGCACTGGCTTGTGACAAACTTGTGTTTGTTGGACTTTTTTAGTCCACTTTTTGTTGTTGTTCATTGGTTGGTTCTGGTGTTTTGGTGGCCACATCTAGCAGTGTTCAGCTGCTCCTGGCTCTGTGTTCATGGATCTATGCTCTATCTGAGATTACACCCAGGGCTTCCCTCGTGCCAAGCATGCAACCAGCCTGTTGAGCTAGCTCTCCGGCTCTGTTAACATGCCTTTTACTCTACCCTTTGTGCATGACTTTGGACTTCAAAGCAGTGAAAGTGGGCCGGAGCCATTGCGGGGGCTGGAGCCTCTCCCTTGTCTCTTAGGGATTCTGATGCTCACATCAGCAAATTATGTGCTCACAAGATATCCACCTCACCCCTCTTTTCTGCCTTTGCTTGAAACACTGAGATGAATTCACTGGAAAGTGTTTTTTGATTTCAGGTGTAAGGTCTATTTCAGTATTGGAGGGAATTATTTATTAAATGATAAAAAGTGTTGAAGTAATAATACAGCAAAATGATTGCCACCTCATTTTATGAAGACAGAGAAGCAGTTATAAAGAAGGACGTAGACATTTAGGTACATAAAGGCTTTCCTTTGGGGTGGGGGGACGTGTGGGGTAGGAGATTGGATCACATCCACCATTGCTCAGGGATTGCTCCTGGTAGTGCTCAGGGACCATATGTGGTTCTGGGATTGGTCAGATGCAAACCAAGTGCTGTAACCACTGTACCATCTCTGCAGTCCACAGGGTTTTTTTATACTCTCCAGCCTGGATCCAGAGGGCTCTGGGCTGTAATTGTAGGGTCAGCCTCTCTTAACACTGACCAGCCATTGAATCACTTTATGTTGTAACCGCCATCTTGTAAAATGGTGATGCTATGCAGTAACCAGGATATGGAAACAACCAGATGCCTGACAACAGATGAATGGATAAAGACATTGTTATATATGTTATGTGTGTGTATAGTGTGATACTACACACCACACACCTGTAAGGAAAGATGAAATCATGTGGTTCACTATGATGTGGATGGAAATAGATCATGTTAAGGAAACAAGTCATAAAGAGGACAAATAGAGAAATAAAATAGAGATAGAATAGAGACATAGAGACAAGCAGTATCAAAATATGACATTTGGGGAGTAATAAAATTGGTCTAGAGTTGATATAGGAACTGTGGTGGAGAGTCATCGGCACTTTGGTGGTGGGGATTTGCAGTAACTTTGTACATTGATATCATTCAATTCTAACACTATTGTAACCTTGTTTCCTCGACTATAATAACAAATTAAGGCAAATTTAAAAATAAAAGAAAAATGGTAGTGCCAAAATTTGTTTTTCCTTATTGAGGGTAAAGTCTAAACATTTCTTGAAGACTCAGAAGAAGGAAGTCATAGTAGGTTCGAGAGCTACAGCAGATGACCCAGCTTGGTTCTCTTGGTTCCACATTGTCCTGGTAATGTCTCTGAGGACTGTTGGTCCCTAAACAAGTCTCCAAGACCCTCTCTTACGCTCACTCGAAGGGGGTCAGCATGCACTGCTACTGCCCAATTTCCCCATTACGTCCTCCTGAGACTCTGGCTGGCACTTGAGATGGAGCTTGTTCCCCTCCTAGCAGAGAAGTAGATTGAGAAATCATCCTACTGCCTGACACAGCTCAGCCAGAATGATGGAGCACTAAAGTAATGATGAGGAAAAGGATAAAGGAGTGATACTGAGAGTTTAAAGGCGGTGCATGCCCTTAGGGAACTTGATGACTTGTGCTGTTATAACTCTCCATTCTCTGATTTTGGCCAAGAACATAAACCTCGTTCTTCCTTACAGCTGCATGGTATTCCATTATGCATCTATGCCGCCACTTCTTGATCCATTCATTCATAGTTGGGCATTTGAGTTGTTTTCTGACCTTGGCTATTGTACTGAGTGATGAACATAGATATGCATATATTCTTTCAAATGAATGTTTTAGTGCTTGGAACACTGGTGTTGAGAAGTGGTATTGCTGCGTTATATGGGGTTCTATTCCTGATTTGGAATAGATCTCCATATTGCTTCCCATAGGTGACATCCCATCAACAGTTGATGAAGGTTCCTTTCTCACTACAATCCCACCAACACTGGCTGTTTCCAGACTTTTAGATAAGGCCGTTCTCACAGGCAGGAGATGATATCTCACTATTGTTTTGATTCACATTTCCTTAATTAGGAGTAACAGGAAGGAATTTTTTGCAGTTACCTGTAAGCGTTTCAATGCTCAAGAATCTTTTACTTCAGAATTTTTTTGAGTTAAAAAGAATCATGAATCTAATCTTCAATAATTATGAAAAAATTAATTATAATTATAAATTACTTTAGAATTAGTTGGTGACAGAAACTATTAGCATCTATAAGTTTACACAAGTTTTATAAAATATTTCTATTCAGTTCCAAATATTATAAACAAATAAGCGGGTAGGGCATTTGCCTTGCATGTGGCCGACCCGGGTTTGATTCCTCTGCCTCTCTTGGAGAGCCCAGCAAGCTACCTAGAGTATTTTGCCCACAGAGCAGAGCCTGGCAAGCTCTGGCATATTCGATATGCCAAAAACAGTAACAACAAGTCTCGCATTGGAGACGTTACCGGTGCCCCGCTTGAGAAAATCGATAAACAACAGGTGGACAGTGCTACAGTGCTACAGTTTTGAAGGTTAAAATGGATTGGACACATGGCCTGAAAATCAGCAGATTGCTTCAAGCAAACTATTCTATTTCATATTATTTTCCTGAAGCTCTAGAAAATTCTAGTTAGAACCAGCCCTAACTTGGAATTTGTGATAAGAAAGCCACACCACATAGTATTTCTATTTAAAAAATGTGGAATACAAATGCATTCTATGTTCTTTAAAGAAAAAATTATCCAAGGTATAATTTCCAGGTCAAAATCAAGTGAATGGCATGGAATTTGTTTTGTTTCTGTAAGCCTTTTATATATATAACATTTCAATTTTTGAAAAATTAGCTCTGAAATACATGTCATGCAGCCATTTCCTGGTTATGTAACAGCTTATTATGTGGCTGTTTCTTGCCTCTGACTTATTACTAAAACACAGCCCTTTCCTCAGATGACTAGAGAGAGTTCCCGAGGCATTCAGTACTCAGCATGTAAATGTGTGGGCCATCCCGATGACCACAATACCACATGCCCCCTTTCCCCGGCACAGTCTGACAGATGTGTAGTACTCCTGCTATCTTTCTTTTTCTTTCTTTCTTTCTTTCTTTCTTTCTTTCTTTCTTTCTTTCTTTCTTCCTTCCTTCCTTCCTTCCTTCCTTCTTTCTTTCTTTCTTTCTTTCTCTCTTTCTTCCTTCCTTCTTTCTTCTTTCTTTCTTTCTCTTTCTTTCTTTCTTTCTTTCTTTCTTTCTTTCTTTCTTTCTTTCTTTCTTTCTTTTTCTCTCTCTTCCTTCCCTCCCTCCCTCCCTCCCACCCACCCTCTCTCCCTCCCTCCCTCCCTCCCTCCCTCCCTCCCTTTCTTTCTTTCTTTCTTTCTTTCTTTCTTTCTTTCTTTCTTTCTTTCTGTTTCTTGTGGCAAGTGTGACTGTTAATTCCAGAAATTCTCCTGCTTCAGATGGTCTGTGCTGCAGTGGACTTCTGTCTGCTCCAGCTTGATGCTGCTGAAACCAGTGCAAAAAGTAGTGACCCATCACTCTCCTGGTTACGTTGCCTTCTGAAGCAGCAGTGTGTTCTGCAGCACTGTAGCACAGTCCTCCTGTTGTTCATCAGTTTGCTCGAGTGGGCACCATTGTGAGGCTTGTTGTTACTGTTTTTGGCATATCGAATATGCCACAGGGAGTTTGTCAGGCTCTGCCGTGCAGGTGGGAGACTCTCAGTAGCTTGCCAGGCTCTCGGAGAGGGAGAGAGGAATCGAACTCGGATCAACCACGTGCAAGGCAAACGTCCTACCACTGTGCTGTGCCTTGTTTATAATTAATAGGGACTAGAATGTCGACTGTTGTATTCTGATGCTTTAAATGCTTTCCTCCAGTCCCACCAAGAACCTGGCTTTTTAACATCAAGGAATTTCTTCATCACCATTAAAACATTAACCTAAAGTTTAAAATAATTTCTACTTTGACGTTATATAAATGTACATGCGAGATTAGATAAGACTTTTAACATTTTTTTATCCTTCCAGTGAACTCCCAACAAGATGAGAAAATTTTATTTGTTTCAGAAACAAGGAAGCAGAGACAGGGCTGGGAGCACCCCTTTGCCCGGAATTAAAGAGAAACAGTGGAAACTCAGTGCTGGTACCTGGGGCTTCAAAGCTCCAAACACAGCAGGCTGATAACCCTTGATACTTGTTTCTTCACCTCTGTTTATTAGAGTTTGGATCTCCAGGAAGTAGCTAATAAAGCAGCTAGCTGAAGATTGCTGTGTAGAATGTCATAACATTTCGCAGCAGAAACCTAAGTATTCATCAGCGATCCAGAAGAGGAAATGATTCAGCCTGACTTTCGTATAGAGGGTAGATTGAAACTTTTCTTGTAATTTAGTGATAGGGCATGGATAAAAATCCACTATAATTTTTCTCTTTTGTCCTTTATTCATTCTGTTTTCAGTTTTTATTTTAATTTAAAGAGGCTAGAGGTGGTTTATTAAGATAAAACGTTTATTTACACACTTGGTGTAAGCAATTGGAGGCCTGCTAGTGCCATGCATTTACTAGGCTCTAATAATACAAGCATGAAAGAAACTGCCCCTGCTCTCAAGAAACATACAGATCAAGCTTCCTCAATAATTTATGGATAACATAATTCACATAGCTGTTGAGTTATTATTAGTCTCCTTAACAGGAATGGCCCAGAAAAGAAAACAACTAGAGCTAGAAAAGAGAGAGAAATCAAAGGCGTTAATAATACCCAAGACG